AGACATCCAAATCACTGAAGAGATGAGTCCACTAAACAAAGTTTTTTTGCATATTTAAAAATATCTTTCTAGAAATTCTGGATTTGTTTCTTTCCTTCCACCACTATTTTTTGGGAGAGAGGGTTGTTTAAAGCTTTACTTTCTTAGATAAACAGTCATATGAGTCCAGAGGAACATCAGAAGTTGTGGCTGTGACCCACTCCAAGGGACACAGCATAGCTGGATCCCTGCATTCATCCCAGCACTCAAGCATTAAGGTCAACATTTCCAAAGTTAAAATCCTCATTTCAAGTCTCCCACATAACTGCAATTCCTGCTGCCTGCAGCTGGTCTTACCAAGTAAGCCACCTAACCTCATGTGTAATGTCACCCCATACATCTCTCTACGCTGTCTCTCCTTCAGCACAGGACAGGAGGCAGCTCCGGCTGGCAAGTATTGCTGCAGTTTTCCAGCACTAAAATCCAGATAATCCAAGGTGCTTAAAGCAAAGATGTTGCTTGTAACCTCCACTTACACTTTACACTTACTCTGCTGTGTGCTTGTAAAAACAGAATTACTTCAGGAATGTTTCACTGAATGAGCACTTGGGCATTTTGATTTTTTTACTGTGTCAGCAAAACAGTGGGGTGTATGATCAGTGCTTGACAGCTTGGGTAATTCAAATGCAAATATATAAACCCTGTCAGTCAAGGGAGAAACAGGTAATTAAATAAAGACATCTCCCATGACAAGGGCAATTAAATGGTCTGCTTTTCCTCTTACAGTGCAAAGATTTTCCTGTGTTTCCTGTCACTTGCTGAGCCAGCTTTGGCTTTTAAGCCTAGGCTAGCAGCTGAGGTGTCACCACTCCCACAGGTACTCTTATCCCCTTTCCCCTTACACCAAGGAGGACGAGGGCAGTCCAGCAGGCAAACACAAACTCCTTCCTTGCTGGGATGATCTGAGCAATAGCTGAAGAAATCCACTGCCTTGACAGAACAGAGCAGCACGGCAGACAGATGTCCTTCCCCTGCCAACCTCATTTACAATCCTTTTAAAACACACAAACACACACCCATCAACTGCTTGTTTCCTTGCTCTTGTAAACTCAGTCCTCCTGCCTTAGCACTCATGGAAGGTGGCCTTAAGCACATCACAGGCCTTAACCCTCTCCTGGCTGCTCTGCAACTTTGCCAAGCTTGCAGGAAAATGGGTCTGGCTGACAGCTCCCACTGCTGTGAATGCAGCTAGACAGATACAAGTACCATGCAGCCAGGGGAGTAGTCCCACAGAAAATACATTTCTAATATTAACTCTTTTTTTTTTTTTCTCTTTCTTGCATATTTTCAAACAATTTAACTTTGACCTTTTGCAATCTGATGATTGAACACAAAGCCAACCTAGGCACCTGGGAATTTGTTGGCTATGCCCTACCTAGCCAAAGCTGTGCAGGCATGCTCATCTGCATCTATTTGCATGCAGAGCACCTTGCAGGGTTGGAGGCTCCCACTGCAGGGAAAGCTGAGATCAGCAGTTTGTCCCTCTGCTTCTCCTTGAGAAAGGCTTGTAAGCGAGCAGCCAGTCCCTCTGGACAACCACTAGGTCTTAGTGAGTCAAACCACTGAGCAGCTTTAGGTGCTCTGTATTGGATGCTGACACTTAGCTGAGTATTTGCACTCACCAGCAGATGATGGATTCAGTATTATTAGTCCTGCCTAACATGTGGGAAAGTGGAAATGGGAGGAATAAAAGTATAACACTAGGAAGTATACTGCTGTAACCATACTGTGGACTGTTCAAAAATCTATTAAAACTGGGCCTTTTGTTTTCGGAAGGTGATCTGAAGCAACAGATTTGTACAACTGTAGTAGCACATAGCATACGTGCCTCTCTGTTCTCTCACATACTGTATTTGTCCATTGCACCTACCCACTGCCTTTAATATTGTGGTCCCATCTTTGGAAATGACCCTGTTGTATCACCAATGCTTTCTTTACACAGCAGATTTCTGACCCCTGCGATGCAAGGTCTCTCTAGGCATTATCACGGTACCTTCAGTAATGCCAACAGTTGTTCACGTTCTCTTTTGGCAATGGAAGGATACTGGAACTGAAGTGGGTTTATCATTTTTTGCAGAAGATGAATCATAGGCAAAAGGTCTGTGGTGCACTGACAAGTCTCCCTTTTTTTTGGAGACAGTGCCATGTCTGCTATTCACAGCAGGTAGTTTCGGAGTTTTTCTGTCCCATGGTCTATGGCTTCAAATCATGAGAACAGGGACATTCGCATGCTTTACATGAGCATCTCAGGTAGGATTCACATCACTGAACACTAGCCATCTCAAATATGGGCATCTTATCTGTGCTAAACAGCAAGGCTTCCTCTGTTTCTAAGGAAGGATATAGGTATCCTCATACGGTGGTTTATCCTCTCTCCTCTGGAGGTACCTCTTTCCATGCTCTAGGAGACACTTTGCTGATTATCCTGAAGTGTCTCCTCACCTCAGACAACAAAAGCCAAGTGAGATGTGCCATGTCTGAGCAGTGTTACCTGCTGGACTCCTGAGTCATCATGTTACCCTGTTCTCACTACCATGCCACTGTCTTCTGCAGATGTTTCCTTGCAGGACTGAGCTGCCACTCATCCATTGTACAACGCCACATCTGACCTTGGATATGGCTGTCTAAGACAACAGCCAGTGCTGGGCTCAGCATCTCCCTAACCCAGAGGCCACAGCAGCGTGTGAAGGGCTGCTGATCCCTTCGCAGACTCAGGCAGGCATCACCATGCTGGTCACAGTCAACTTGCATCCTGGAAGATTTCCCTGTACATTTTAAGTTCATTTCCATAATGACACGATTAATACCGGGGCCTAGAGTTCACAGCAACAGATTAAAAAAAAAAAAAAAAAAATAGGCTAACTGGCTGTGAGCTGACAAAATATAGACTGCATTATTTTATAACAAAGTTAGCCCAGCACAGCAGTTAATATACCAAACCAGAAACTTCAGCAAACATAATAGATAAGGCCCATTTGTGGTTCGGTGCACAGCATTTAAGATTCATAGGTCTAATAAAGGTAAAAGTTTCGTTATTGTCTCCTTCTGCAATGGACAAGAGGTGCATTAGAAGAGGTTAAGATGATACCTTGAAAATGGGGATATAAAGTCTTCTCCCACATGCATGTCTGTCTCCCTTATAGACAAGTGGCTTTGAGAAGTGTGGTAATATTTGATCACCAGTGCAGCACAATGGTTAACAGGATCCAGATAAAGCTGAAGTTCCGAATTTAGTCACCAAACCTGAAGCTTGCCACAGCTGCTGTTTTCTGTTCTCTTCGCTCACTTCAGGCAAAAAAACTCTATCGATATGCTGCTCAGTAAAAGCATTTGCAATGTTTACTTTATGTGGCACGTGATCAGAAAGCAACAAATCTCCCTAATTTAATCTTCTTTATGATGCATTTTTCTTTCCCTGACACCCCTTAAAACAATTTATATTACAGCTTTGTAAAGATGAGTTTCCTGGGGAAATACGTCCTATTTTCCCAACATTTTCTTTGAGCAGCTGGGAGGGAATCAGCCACCACATGAAACCTGGGAATAAAAGTGCAGGTGGTCCTTTACTAGGGCATTTGTGCAGTTCTCGTATTTTCTCAACATTTTTAGAGCAAATTGCTTGAAGACTTTTGCCTACATATAGGTCTGTTTATCATCTGCTATTGGACAGAGATTGCTATTTTCATTAGTATCCTGATGTGGAGAAATTACTAAACATATTGACTAGCCTGTCTCTGAAACATTATGGAGTCTGCTGTTATTAAGATCACATACTGGATATTGAAATCTGTGCATGAACTACTTGGAAATTGAACAACATAGTCTGATGTTTTATAGTAGCTTAGGAGGAGAGACGCAGAGTGGCATGCAAGGAACTACTTAAAGCAAACCCAGTTTCATTTCTTAGTGATCAAGAAATATGACCCCCAGCTCCTTTTTGGGGAAAACAAAACTGAAATAAGTTTTCTTTTTTGAAATCCTAGTACTTCTATGAGACTTTATAACTTTAGCATGATTAAAATGTATTCCTTAATCTCTTTCTGAAGCATCCAAATCAGAAACAAAATATCCTAGATTCTATGATGTACATAGGAGTTTCTGTATAAAACAACAGTCTAATCAAAACAGTCTAATAAATATTTAAAACCTTTCCAGAAAGGTAGACTTCATCCTTCTAAGTAGCATTCAAATTAAAATTAAAATGTCTTTTGAATTTAAATCTGAATGCTTTGAGAGTTTTCTAAAGCCTCACAGAAATCTAAAATAGAGCTGGCTTATTAGAAGCAGTTCATTTGTTAAAGTCAAACTTAGTTTCACATATTCTAAAATAACATAGCTACACGTTATTTTATCAAACAGTATTGGAAGACAAAGTTTCCTAACCAACAGCACAGATCAGTTTTGATTGGCTAAGGGGTCAATGGTTTAATCAAGGGAAATAAACTGTCTATAGTGAACTGAGATTCCTGGCTTCAGGCATCCTCATTTGAATATTTGGAATATATTTCATGAAAATTGCCTCATGTAATTAGCCTTAAGGAAGCAAGCCACTAGAAAGAACTGATTCAAACTGTGCTTTAAACTGCTGCTGCAGTACCTTCACACTTCATGAAATATGGTTCAATTATCATTTTGGTAAATTTGAACATGAGAGCTTTCAACAGAGCTTCGTTAATGGTATTTTCTCACTCTGGTCTTTAGCTTGATTTGCTCTTGTTTTAATTAAGCTAGACTGTTAGCTAAACTGCACAAACATTTAGTTTAACCTGGAAAAAGTATTCTGTGTTCAGCCTGCATCCTCTTCAAGTTGTGTGCTCATAACTATCAGAAATAAAATGAAGTTGTTCTTTTCCCTCATTAGGTTAAAAATGATTGTTACCTGAAAATATGCATTTGTAATAATGTATTTTATGGACTTGTCATTAGGCAGGCTTCTTTCCAAGCTACAGCAGCCAGCTTACCTGTCAGCTGAAAGAGCAGTGAGAGTAAAGACTGACACCCCTACAGAGGTGAGCTGTATGAAGGGGATAAGTTTGCATCCAGTTCTGCCGAACAGCCACTCATCAGCAAGGTACCTGCTGGCATCCACGGGCACACAAGTCACTAACAGCAGCAGGTCTCCCAGAGCCAGACTGGAGATGAACAAGTTAGGGACATTTCTCATAGATTTTACAGTACAGAAGATCTTAATCAAAGTGATATTGCCAATAAGGCCTATCAAAATAATGATCCCGTAGATTGTGGGGATGGCATAAAGGAATGCTGGGTAGAACCACTCATCTCCGAGAAGGGAGAGGTTTGCACTCTGGTTGACAGAAAGGTTGTAGAGAATGAAGTTATCTGTTTCTAGGTCTAGCAGAAGGCAGCCTTCAGATGCCATTGTCCTGCGTTGCTCTTCTCTGAAGACAACTTTCTTCCTGGGAGATGATCGAATAAATTTTTGGCTTTAATTTTGCTTCTGCTTGCTGGCTTTAAACAGTCAGAAGAGTCTAAAAGTCATATCGCTTTGTGACAGATCTTGACAATAAACAAGCCAAGAAAGCAGCTGCAGCTTGCACAGGGAGTACTGTTTCCATAAGGTGAAAGGAGAATATTTTCTAGCATAGTTTGAATCCTGAAACTTGCCTTTTGACTTGTCTCGCTGTCAGGTGTTCCTCAGCTCTGGAAAGCCATTTGTCAAATTCAAAGACCAGTAAGTGGGAGGCATTTTCACAGTGGAGGCTTGCTAAATTCTCAGCGCCAGGTCTGCTGAGCAGAACCAAGTCCAAAACAAGGGAATTACAAAAAGCAAGAACTTTTGGTAGCTGCTGTCACGCTGCATTGCCAGTCTCTCCCTCTTTCAGCACCTGTGCTTGCCAGCTGGATTTAAAGTGAGGAAAAGCAGGGTTCCGCTGGCAGCTCGGATCCTATAGGCGGGATTTTTGGACGTCAATTCTTCCCCTGCTTCCCAGGATGAGAGCAGGCTTACTGAAATGACTGCGGTAATTCCAGGCGAGCGCCGGAGAATGCCAGCCACCTACCGGAGAGTCTAATCACTGCCGGGGAGCGGGGGGATAGAAAACACACCAAAATCACTGTTAACTCTTTAGAGGGTAAAAAAGGAAATAATAATTAAAAAATCTGCTCATTTATAGCTCCTGAGGTGAAGTTCACTGCTTCTCTCCCCCCCACCCCTCCCCCCCCCCAAAAAAAAAGAAAGGAAATAACTAGTTCATACTGCAAATAATGTGATCATAAAAGCAATTGCACCTTCTTAAATAACAGCACACATACTTTACACTCCGGTTTGCACTCTGGAATTCAATCGTTCCAATGAAAGAGAATAATTACATGGAGCTAAGTTCATTCCCCCCCCCCCCCCGTGCAAATTAAGTAAGTAAAGCCAATTAAGATAAAATCAGCATTATAGTTAAGGAAGGCAAATGAGTTTTAGCACTATGCACCTGCAGTTGACCAGCAAAGTCGGAACCCTGCACATCTTTTTAATATGTTTTAGTTTGGGGATAAGAATAACAAAGGGGACAAAATTTACCATTCAATGTGATCATTTCTCCGTATGAAGTACTCATCACACTGTCATCTATAAGTAATGCATATTGAGATGCATGAGAGAGAGATTTGCTTGGCTTTTAACAGTTTGAAAATGTTCTTTCTTAGAGTTTAATTAAGATATAACTATTACTGATTCCTTACTTCTTTATGACAGGCTATTTACTATTATATGCAAGGACTTTGCAGAGAAATACAGTTAATTTGTAAACAAGCCTGCAGGATTAAATGAAGCTGTAATTTACACCTCCCCTTGCAACTGCTCATGCTTGTAGATGAAAGAATGTTTTACCAACTGCTAGAACTACTTGGAAGTGAGGGGGAGAGATGATTCAAATCAGGCATTAAACTATGATCACTGGTTTCTAGATAAAGGAGGCATTTCAGGACATGATTTGGAAAAATCCCCAAGCGCTTGGGAGCCATGTCCAAGGGTGGGATTTTGAGCAGGAGGCTTCAGTAGCTGTTTTTCTGCCTCGTTCTTGTGACCCAGGTCAGTGTTTTCAGCTGCTTTGTTGCTGTTCACTCTAAGTCAACAAAGGACTTATGTGTACCCTTAACTTTAAGTAGGGCTACTTAGATATTTTTTTCAAGCCAAACACCCAAGAGAATGCTGTTCTGAGAGCTCAAGGGAACAGAGGAGAAGCAAAATTTTCCGGTATTAATTTCAGATAAAAGTCTAGTTTTAAAAATAACCCTGAGATTGCCACGGTTAAAAACAGAGGACTCAGAGCTACTGCGTACAGTCTGATCAGGGCAAACAGGGAAAAGTGCTTCTGCAGGTCAGGGCCAGCCTTGTGCAAGGCTGCCTGGTTGGGTAGAAGCCAGCCAGAGGCAGCACCATGTTTGGTACAGCAGGAGGTACCAGAGGCATGGAGAGGCATCATGTAGCTACAGAAGCAGCTGAGGCACAGCATCCTGTGGGAAACCTCTCCATGCCTGGGAGTCTGTTAAGAAGGGCTGCATGACAAAAGGAAACACGCTTCCCCCTCTTCGCTTTCCAAGGTTTGGGGTAAAGCAGAAAGGACGTGGCTGGAAGTGAGAGGGAGAAGTGGGAGCAGAAGTGTAATCCTGATGGACCCCGTGCCCAGAAGCCTGGTTGGTGGTTGACAGTGACCTGCTCTGAGTGGGAGCTGGGAACAGAGACTTCCCATTGCCCCTTCCCATTCAAATGACTTGGTGATTCTGGGTTTCTGTAGCTTGCTACTCAAAGACATAATAGCTCTAGCTCTCATCCTCAGCATTTATTCTTCCAGATGGACAACAAAATAGTCTGTTTGCCAAAACCCCTCTAATAGAACCACTACAGCATCATATATCGCTGTTCAAACTCTTCTATACTGAAATCTCTTGTACTGTTACATAGTGAGCTATGTGGGATGAGCAAGGAAAGGAAATGCTGGAACCACTTATCTTTCAGCAGACAGTGGCATTGGTCACTCTTCTTTTGAGGTGAGTGTAGGCGTATCACCTTATCCCAAGTGCCTCCATCAGTGACAGAAGGCTCTCTCATGATGTCTGGAAAAAAATCACTTTGCCTTCACCTTTGCCAGGCTGATATTTCATTCCAGGAAGCACTTCAAGTCCCCAGCTACAGCTCCCAAATTTTTGGTTTTGACAAATCCAGGCTTCAAGTGTTTGGGCCTTTTGGCCACAGAGAATGAGAAACTGAAAAAACAAATGCAGAAAAGGAGATAAAAATAACAATAAAAACCCCTAACAGATCCTTGAAGCTTGAAACTTTTTACATTATAAAAACATCCATTTTTTATGTCAGACATAATGGACTGTTTCAGGTTTTATTTGCAATTGCCTAGGCTGCAGATGTTCCCCAGACCAAACTTAGAAAAGTTAAGGTTGTTTCCCAGAGGTGTTTTTGTCTTGTCATAAATTGCATATGAGATGTTCTGTTTATTATAAATGGTGTACCTTTTTCATTATGTCACTCTAGCATTTATCTTCCTTGAGAAAGCAAAATGTCTGGGCATTTTTATGAGCATGGCCACCTCTGCTGTAGTGTTCATTTCAAGCTCCCAGGCCTCTCTCCAAAGGAAGGTAGAGCGTCGATACTCGTATTTCACCAGCGGAGTAACCTTCATGCACACACACAAAAAACAAGTGACTGGCATAAGGTTACTTAACAGGCTGTTGGCAGAGTCGTGAATAGAATAGTGCAGGTCTTCTGAGCCTGGTCCTGCATTATAATGGTTTTCCACTGGATGATGAGAGATTCCACAGATACTTTCAATAGATGCTCTTTTTACAGCTCTCAACCTTTATCCAGCATCCAAATGACAGCTACAAAGAGACAATCTTCTTACTCCTGAATTGTGCACAATGGAGTAGATTTGGAAAAGAGGTCAGTGGGTAACATTTTCAAAAGCAGCTAAACCAATTTGAAAGGTAATGAAATTTAAGCTCATGAGCTCACCACCCAGAAATGGTGACAGAGTTTCAAACAAATGCTGTCTGCACTGAGAAAAATACATGAGGACCCATTTTACAAAGGCACTTGGAGAGATGCAGCTGCCACAGGCGGATTTCCAAAGGGACCAAACACTCAGTGTTCTGAGGTCTTTTGAAAGGCACTGGTCATTTATTCTACATATCTAAATGGACTTCTTTTGAAAATCTAGTGCAACAGAGGGGTTCTGAGCCCCTGTGAGGTCCCATGGGAGATTCTCTTGTGATGGGTGCCAGAGCACACTGCTGTGGCCACCTGCAGACTCTGAGGCTGTCTGAGGCTGGCACAGCCACTGCCTTGGAGGACAGGAGCACTCCAGCTGTACCAGGGCAGGCAGCCCATGCAGCATCCTCCACACTAGGCACCCTCAACACCAAGGGGACAGGGGGATTTATGGCAATAATCTCCCAGATAGTATGGCTCTTTGACAAGGGTGTTCTGTTTATTATCTTGACACAATAAGAATTTTGTTTGCCTCTTGTATATGTCCTCAGACAAGATGGATAAACTCCCTTCCACAGCCAAGTATGAGGAGAGGAGTCCCTCTGCTCAGGGTGCTGCTGTTTCCTGATAATTGGATTACTGGGGGTAGGAGCCAGGGATTACTCCTTGATGAGCTTGCAAAGTGTAACATCCACTGGTATATGAAATATCCTGGCCCTGCTGGCTTACCAAATATCCTCCTGCAAACTGCTCATGTCCCAGAGGAAACAAAGTGGTGGAAAACATCCCACCTATAATCACTTCAAGCAAATTCTTCATTTTTACTGCTTTCCCCCCTGCCTTCTTATATCCCACTCCATGTCTCAGTTCACTACTCTGTTTCAGTCACCAAAGTTCACAGTAACTGTTCACAACAGGATGATTTTCTAAACCAGTCCATTTTAGGGATTTGATTTGCATCAGATCTTTACAGATGGTTGATTACATTATTTTTTTTTTTTTAATCAGTGATGTGGGCTCATACCTGCATGACTGGAGGTCAGAGGGGCTGTGGAGGGAGCTGAATATAACTCACAGTGTAAAAGGTAAAAGTCCCCTGAGTGAATACTATGTGATGGTTTCTTGCATGTGTAAAAATGGAAATGAAGCATTGTCAAATTTTCTCCTCTGTCGCATGCCTTTACTGATGCACAGCCTGTACTACAAATGAAGATGCAGGCTACACAATGTGAAGTGCTCCCACTGTGCCTTTGAAAATAGCTTATTCATCCTAAATTGGACAACTCCTTCAGTTTGTTATTGAGCTTCATAAATCTCCTACTCACTCCCAGCATCTCATCATGACACCAAACATCAAAAACTGACACAGCTGGAAGGGATGCCTGAACTTCATAGCACCTAGAATGCGTGCCCACAGAGAAGGAAGTATTTGAAGAAGAGACCATGCAGATATTTATTTACAGGAACCTCCTGCCGGGCTTGAAGAATAACACAACCATTAAGGCATCTGAAAATGCAGTGAGAGAATAAGGTTGTATGGCGGGCCAGTTAGGAACAAGGAACCAGCCTGCATCTGGCAAAAGAGGGGTGAAAAGGGGCCTGAGAATTAAGAAAGCTGCCTGCATGGGATGCCCTCAAGGAGGGGACATCTGGAAAAGATGCACAAAGAGAGCTGGTGTAAGCTGATTGGAAGGAAAAGGAACTTGGCAGCAGCCCTCTGTGCAAATCAGAGGGGCAACACTGCATTTTTGAGAGCAAATAATTCTGTAGTAAGCAAGATATGAGATAGTGGCCATCTGAGCAAGAAACCTTCATTAGTTATAAAAGGGATAAGCTACATCCCACATGCTTGGTGCAGAACCTCCCTGTAAGAGAGGTAGACCTGAGGTTGCAGTGAGAGGAACAAGTAGAAAGTAAGTTTGTAACCATGCTGAGCACCTGCTGGCAACAAATCATT